TTAGAACATATTAACTCAATCTAATGCTCACTATATTTGTTGACCATAAAAATTGACTCCAAATATTCGTAGTAATTATTTTCCTTGCTTATATCTGGAATAATGACATCATCACTCCCAAATTCTGATCCATACCACTATCTCATTGTGAGACAGAAAACGCTATAAGTTGTTGGAACTTTGCTCCAAGGACTGCAATGAAAATGCCTTTCTTTCTGGCCTTATTGTTTTCAGTGGAGATGATTTTGTAGGCATTTTTAGTCCTCTTTGGATGGTTAATTTGTGCTTGCGTCTCCTTACTGCTTTCTTATTCATGTATTTCTCGGAAGGACGACTTGTATGTTTTTTCACATGGACACTTCTCATCTTGTTTAGATTTCTGGGGAATAGAGGATTTAGGTAAAGCAATTTCTTATTATAAAAATTAAAATTTTTATACTAGAAAGTTGCTTTAAGAAGCAATAAGAAAATCGACACAAACAAAACCTTATTCACTGCACCTGTTCTGGGATACCTGATGACTGTTTGTCCTATCGAGCTGCTTCTCTTCCCAAATTATTCTGAGTCCCATAGTTTTTTTGTCCTCCTGGTGTACTAAATATCCACTAGTTATTGATGGAAATGAAGCTTTTGAATTCCAAAAAGAATGCTGACGGGTGAAAATAATGACTTGCTACAGGTCCTGCAAAAACCAGGAGGCCTCCATCAACTTCAATAGCAACAAACATGAGTAACCACACTGCAGTAGAGGTGTAGAAGCTAAAAATAACGCATCAGCATTAGCATTATAGCAACAGTAGATAATAAGCAGCAGCTGTAAACTTGTTGGCAGGTAAATGTGTAGTAGAAATTTTATGTTTGATACTTTGATAAGCTATCATTATACACAATAATCTCACAATTTATCATTGAAATAAAAAGGCAGAGGAGAAAGATCTTCCTAGTTTTTCTCTTCTTTTTTTTTTTTCAAGTTTTTGCTATTAGGCGATGTAATATGAACATAAATTAAAGCCTATCATAGAATATATTTATAATGTTTGAATACTATGAAATGCCTATGTAATTTAATTTATCTGTTGGTTGGGAGCTTTGGCTGTTAACTAAGAGATTTTGGCTATGTTTGGGACGGCTTTCTTTCTGCTTCTTAAAGCAGCTTTCTAGTACAAAATTTTTAAATTTTGTACTAAAAAGTTGCTTTATGAATCAGAAAAAAGCTGTCCCAAACAAAGCCTTTGGGTTTCAGTTATTGCTGATAATGGACGATGAAAGGCAACGATAGTATCTGCATGAGTCAATGTAGGGGTGACAGACAGACAATAATGATTGTTAGCTTCAAAAGACGACGGGTGATGAAGGACGAACAATGATCAGCGTTCGTAATGTTTGTATCAATCAACCACAAAATTAATATATATTAACAATCAATCAATTTTTAAATAAAAAAATAAACTTTATTTTCTTCCTTTTATTTAAAAAACTCAAAATTATGCATCCTTCTTTGCATACCATTAAAATTATGATTTATATATATTTCAGCAAGTTTTATGACAATCGATTATTACTTAGAAGTTAGAAGACTTGAAATTTTCTGAATATGTAACTCTAAATACATTAAAAATTAATTATACTTTTAAAAAATAAAAACTTTCAAATAAGTGAAGTAAAATACATTACCATGTTAATTTTGTCAGGTATGATTTATGAAACACCTACATAAAATTGCATCCTTAAGAGAATTTTAATTTTCTGCGTGTCATGTTCTGCATGTGCAGATAGACATAATAAAAATAAAAATTTCTTGCAAAAAAAAAACAAAAATATATATTTTAAATATTACTAAAATGTTCTCTATAAGTTATTAAATACTTAATATATATTTAAATACTAATAGAAGTTAATATGATAAAATAATATATCAATTTATTTATGTATACAAAGAAATATCAATTGATAATTCAACATGTACATATAAAAGTAGTTAGATTAAAAAAAAAACAAATTATGAGGAAAACTAATAAAGGGAAAAAATTATGGGGCTTGACCTAATTGAAAAATTCATTCTGTAATAAGTGATGTAAGAATTTTCTTTTCTTAATTGTTAGGTCCATACGATTTCATTGATAATGAAGTATTATTTTCAACATTTAAGTATCTTAATGATGTCAGAATTGAGTGATCTTGGGCTCATTGGATTTGTCTCGTTGAGCCGCGTGATTTGCGTATAAGCATGTCTGATTTGGAGATTATTTGACCATTAAATTAATGCTTGAAGTTTTTAATCATACTTCAAATGTTTGATTTGGGCTCAGATTGGATTACCTTTGGTATCATTGAGTTCGTCTCATTTAGGCTTTCAGTTTGACTATGAATTTGTTGAAATTAGAATTTGCGTGATTTTAATTTAATTCTAGAAATTTTTAATTTCAGTTTTACCTTGATATTCATGCCAAATTGTACATATTTTTTTGTAATATATATATATCACCAATAAAATTTCTTTAAAATAAATTAAATTCGCCCTCTAATGATGCATAATAATTTTATAAAATTGATATAAACATTATTTTCTGAATAAATATTAACATTAAAATAAAAAACTTAAATAATGAAAAGCTCTATATTTTAAATTTCTTCAATTTTAAATAATCTAATTACTAGTAATTTTATTCCCTAATAATATTAATGGTTGACCAAAAGTTTATATATTTCTGTTTATGTCACACACACTCTTTAATTCCCCATAAAACTTTTATGTTCAACACTTTGCTCTTTCAGAGGACATATACTTTAAAGCTTCATAGAATTTTAATGGTTACAACATATTTTTATCTTGGCTAATTCATTTATAATGTCTCCGCCCGCTTGCAGTCCGCCGCCCTCCTAACTCTAGTTTCTCATTGTCATCGCCCTCCCTCCCCCTCCAACCACCACCTCCACCATGGTGAAACACCACCTTCATATGAATTGAATTTGCCACTCGAATAATGGCATAATTATTTTGTAAAATGGATATAAGCATAATTTTTTGGGTAAATATTAACATGAAAATGAAAAACTAAAATCATGAAAAGCTATATATTTTGAATTTATTTAATTTTAAATAATCTGCTTATTAGTATTTTTATTCCCTAATAATTTTAATTGTGAGACACAAAGATATAGGGGAAAAGAAGAATCCTAACTAAAAGAGAAAAAAGAAAAAGGAGGGCATTGATGGTTTTTCAATTGTAAGAATCAAGGAGGGAAATGGGATTGCCTTTGGCCTACAATTTTGGGAGAACATAGAAGGGACTGTTGTCCAATGATGAAACAAAGAAAGACTATGGAGTAAAGGCACATCGTTGAGGAGGGGGGACAAGTGAAATTTTAGGGATGAAAGGGGAACTTAGGAAAGTGGAAATGATAGTAATTTGAAATCGGGGGTTTCAAAATTTTTATCAAATTTAGGTATTTAAATTATTATGTTTTAAGATTAATTTTATGCTATCTAATAAAAACTGAATGGCTTTATCGAACATAATTTTGATTAAGAAATAAATTAGGTGGTTCAACCATATGATGAATGGTTTACTAGTTCTATGATCCACTCTTCAGTTCTTAATTCTTAACTAAGATGGTTCTAGCATATGATTGAATTGCCTAGGGAACTAGTTCGCATTCAAACTGGTTGATTTAGCTCAATTTTAAAAACTTTTGATATAGGAAAATGATTTCCCTCGAAAATTAGTAATTATTTGCTTGCACATCACTTACAGGAATTGATGCCCAACCAAGTACACAAGATTGATCAAGTGGATTTTTATTGAGCCAAAAGTTCTTTTTTCATGGCTAACGTATATTCATTAGCATCATAACCTAAAGTCTGCCACCCAAATGTCCAATCACAATTAAAATCCATAGTTTAGTTTAGGTGACTTAGAAACATAACAATTATGCACAAATTCTAGTCTTATCCAAATAATAGCAACAATGATCTTATGTCATGCGCAAAACATTGCAAATCTAAAATTGACTCAAATGTTGCAAGACACTATAGGAGAAAAAAATTGGAAGATATTGTTGTGCGCTACAATAACTAAATTTCTTCAAGAATCAATGATACAAGATTGTGCTATAGTTCCTCGTCAACTTTTTTTATTTTGTGATATATTTATGTGTGATGACTTATGAATGAATTTTGTAGGTAAGCCAAAATTTATATTATGATTAGCTTGATGATTATCAAATATTAAATACTTTTGAGCCTAATCTATTCAAGTTCGGTAGTCTATTTAAATTTGATGAAAATATCAATAAAAATGGATATGAACCAATTTATTTTAGTTATATTTTATTTCATTTTGTAGTTTTTAACTTTAGGCATTTTGGATATAGTAGGATGAGTGCTATAAGAATGAAATGCGATCTTTTATTTTAATTATCGAGTTTTCTGATTTACCTCCTAGTTTGCATGGCCTTATTGTTCACTAATTTTTAATGATTTGATTTTCTCCTTGATTTCTTTAAACTTGTTGCATCATCATTTTGGTTTAATTTATCATATTTTGAGGATCACACTTAAAGATGCCAAAATTTTGTGTCATAGTGGCATGGGTTTTCAATTGTGCAATTAGAAGTGTACCGTAGTGCAAGTAAAAAAAAACAATTGAGACATATTCCTCAGTGGGGGTGAGGCTTGCCTAAATGCAATTTTGAAGAAACATATGCCTAAAAAATTAGCGTTTAATTCATTTTCAAATTCTAATTTATAAATTTTACATAATTAATGAAACATTTATTATACCTAGACCAAATCGATTTGGCTAGAACTGCAACACCTCAAACTCTTAATTGTACACTTCAAGACCCTCATGCTTGCACTCAATCTTGTTGCGCCATTGCTTCTCCTTCAGCACCTCTCCTCTTGTTGTTGGTAACCAAGCTCCTTTTTTTAGTATGAGGAGGGAGATAAAATAATTAACTACAATGATTATTCTAATGAAGATTCTCTAAGCGATGAAATGGGGTAGACTTTTTGAATTCATAAACTTTTTTTTTTCTGAATTCATAAACTATGATTGTAGATTATTTGTTTATGTTGAATTGGAAGTGTTACAGACTTTTTATTTAATAATGCTTATAGCCTTATATGTCTTTTAATGATTTATTTTAACGTTTTATGATTTTCCTTTGACATCATTGTAATGTTAGTATATTAATTATTATTGTTACTTTTTAATTAATTTTATGGTTTAATTTTAAGTCTTATACCTTCCTATGCATTAAGGCATACATCTTGTCTCTTGGAAAAAAAATGCTACTTCAATACTCATTCGTATGTTTCCAAATCTTGGTTAGTGGTGTTTAATTCTACTAACTCCTATTTCTTTTGAGCGATCTATATTATTACATGAAACCATAGACTTCTTAGCATCCTGTAGTAGCATCTTTCATAAGATTATTTTTACCGCTGACAAACTGCTGCTGCTATCTATGATAATTTACATTCGCAGTTTTGAAATGTCTTTTATTTGATTTATTTTTGCAGCTATTTTTTGTACTTGTGATATTTGTTACATCAAAAAATATTTTTTTATATTATTTTTAGTTCTTTACATTAATAGGTTAAGTAGCCCAGAATCAGTATTGGATTCAATTGAGAGCACTTCTAGGGACATATCACGCGGGAAAAAAGTTGGAAAGATAACCCGAAAGTATGTGAACTGAAATACTCCTTTTAATATTTTATTGGAGTTTGGTTTAGTTATGGTCAACTAATTTTGTCTGGTATTTTTCTTCCAAGGGACGTGAGACTCCATAAATTGGTTTTCATGGAAGACATATTACCTGAGGGAACCATGTTGCGATACATGGTGAATGGAAATGTAAGAAATAGTTTTTTTTTTTCAATTCCTTCGAATTTTGTTGACATTTTTACTTTCATTCTCTTGTATGGCTAAACTTTTTTCTTAACAGCCTCAACTTGTTGGTTATGCCAAAGACTCTGGTATATACTGTACCTGCTGCAATGAGGTGGTATGTTTCAAACCCCTTCTGTTGATTATATTTAGAAATTATATTGGTATTTGCATAAATTTTGACATTTAATGAACAGGTTAGTCCTTCACAATTTGAAGCCCATGCTGGCCACGCACAGCGTCGCAAACCGTATGCTACTTAGTGAATGTTTTGAATATTTCTTTTGTCTTATGGCCATTATTAATTTCTATTCCTTTTTTAATTAACCTTTTTAGATATAATTACATTTATACTTCCAATGGAGTGTCACTTCATGAGCTCTCTGTTACACTATCCAAGCGCCGCAAGTTGTTGGACAATGAAAATGATGATCTGTGTAGTATTTGCAAAGATGCTGGGGAACTGGTACTATGTGACCTTTGTCCTAGGGCTTTCCATCAAGGTATCCATCTTGTTTTTGTCAAAGAAATTCTTTAGATGCTAAAATTAATGTGCTAGCATAAGAAAATTTTGGAGAATGGACCCGTCAACTCTCTTTTGTGAATTAGTCCAAACAGTCTAGGGCACTTTTTTGGGAGGAGGAGCAACCTCATGTTAAAAATTGGCCAATTATTCATGTCTTGCGGTAACTGTTTTATTATGTTATTCATTATTTAAATTTTAAAATAATTGCATTCACATAATTTAGTTGAGCAATTGATTGGATTCTCCTAATTTGAATGAGATGGAATGATGTTGGCTGCAATAACAGACAGTTCTTCCTTGGATCCAAAGATTATGCCCTTAAGGGAAGCCATAAGTAGTTTGTAGCATGTATATGCCTGAGCGTTACCATTCGAGCAATATGGTATTGCATTTTTTGTCATATCTTGTATTCATCATAAGTTCTTGTCATTATTGTTGGGAAGTGATCCATGGCATTGCATTTTCTTTGGTTATATTTGGTTTTCATCATAAGTTCTTGTCATTATTGTTGGGAAGTGATCCAAACAAAAATTGAAATTAGGCTAGATGCATAAATGGTTAATTCTATTTTCAACCTAAAAATATAAGCTTATGGATGAGGTATTTTTACTTTAACATATTTTTAGTTATCTATGTGGGTGTTGGTTCACTAGGTCGGTTCTTTAATTTGAAAAGTGATTATCTTAGAAAGAGATTATTTGATATTCTCATAATTGGGCATATTTTAGAAGGTGATTATTTGATTAGTTGATATTTTTAATTATTTATGTTTCATGCATATGCTTTGAAGCAAAATGACTCAAGGTCAATGCAACTAATTTGATTTTTATTGCTTTAATCCAAAAAATAGGGATTTATAAAGCACAATTAATACTAGATATTTTCTTTAAATGTAAACACGTAATACTATAATTAAAACCCAGCGAAAATGAATATCAAAATAATATGAGAAATCCAATGTGAGAAATTAAAAACACATAAAATTAGCGAACAATGTGAATATACTTTTAATTAGATTTTTGGCATGTCAAATTTTTATCAAGATAAAGAGCAAGAAAAAAATCAATATCAAGTTATATAGGTGAAATAAAATAAGGAATGGAAATATCAAAGTAAGAGAAACCATGTCACAGGCCCGTGAGAGAGATGATGCCTCTCAAAATTAATTAGGTGACCACATTTGTATTGCACTCGTAGAAATTTTGCATCCAACTTGTACTCAAAAGATTAAAACTAAAAAAAAATGAAATTTAATTCAAGTTAAAATTAGAAATTTCATTGCTCAGAACAATTATTTATAGACTTCTCTCCCTTAGGTCACTTGATGCAATTGGCATAAGATCATTTTAATTCATATTCAATTTAATGCCTCAAGAATAAGTTTTATAAAAGCAGTTTACAAAGGATTGGATGTAGACTTACAAAAGAGAGGTGAAAAGTATCTATGCAATAGTAGGTTCATGAAAAAAGTCAAATTAAACACACTAACAATTGAATTTAATTGGAAATTTTAAGAAACTTTCAATTTATAGGCACATTAATTTCAATGTCTTTTAAAATTTTCAATGATCCTATCTTCTTTGCATTTTAAATTTTAAAGGTTCCAGGTGAAAGCTTTTCCTTAGTTAGATGTATCATAACTTTATCATCTAGCTTAAATTTCTCGCATCTTCTGTTCACATCATCATATAACTTGTAATTGTCATAATAAGTAGCCATTTTTTTGTGAATATCCTCATGAAAATCATGCATGTATTGTGGAAATGACTATGCAAATACTCTAAGCTTGTATTCTTTGTGAAGGTTTACAAGATACTTTCGAGATTGATATCCTATGATAATCTCAAATGGAGTCTTTCCATTACTATTAACATTTGAATTATATGCAAACTGTCATAGGTATATCAATTTCCACCCAAATACATAGTCTTTTATCAGAGCATAATAGATCTCCCAAGGTTTTATTAATAATTTCTGTTTGGCCATGATAAGCAGCTGAAAGTTTAAGTTATGCTACTATTTTCTTTTAATATTATTTTTAGATGTAATTCAGGAATTTTTAATCTCAATGAAAAACAATTTTTTAGATAAATTATGTAATTTAATAGTGTCATTTTAAATACATCTTTTCAGTATGAGATACATCTATAGTTTTATGGCAGTTTGAAAATGCTCACTATGAAAATAGTCATTCTTAGTCATTCTGCTTCAGTACTTGCATATATCTCTTTACGATATTAATATGGAATTGGTAGAGGTGCATACAACCCTGTTTAATATTTTCTACGCTTAGTAGATTGATGAGTTGTACATTGTGAAACATTACATATATCTCTTTTTAACTCAACCCGTAAAATTCATCCTAATTCATTGCAATAGTTTTATTTTTTTTCCATAGTAGTTAACAACACCCACAATGTCTAAGTATGAAGTAAAAAATAATAATAATAAATCTCTTAGTGATGAATGGGTAATACAAAACCAAGTACTTTTGAATCAATATCCTTCCTTAATCATGTAGTATTTGCTAAGCAATGAAAAATCATTATTTAAGTTTTGGTAAATCTTATCAAAATACTTGTTAAGTGACGTATTCCTCCTTTAAATGTTCAAAATCAATCAATCTTCTTTCCCTGTGTTGTGTAGAAGGATGAAATCCTTTTTAAAATATTAATAGATTTATTACTCGATTCAGCGCAATGCTTAGGTATAAAAGAAAATTCTTATAGAAACTCAACTCACTTGGCATGTTTATGTCTTAATTGCTTTCAAGAATTAAATCACCTTAACCTCTCCCACAACTACCACTCCTTCAAGATTTGTCATGCTATCTATGAAGGATTATGATCGAGTGATTTCCTCTGGTGCTATCGCAACAATCTCAGTCATATGCTCTCAATTTTAGTTTTAGGTGCTCTTCCCATAAACCATATGATAGAATATCTCAATATTTTCTTTTTTCTCTTTATGAACTCCCTTACGTGATTGTGGCTACTGGGTTTTCTTCTCACATCTTTGGCATAGCTGTCTATAAATTTATTATCTTTTAATTCATCTTACTAAGTATCATAATTGTTATGCAGTCTTCTATCTCTCTCAACTTATTTTTCATGATCTTAACATGAGTAAGATAATTGGTGGAAATGTTGAAGCTTGTGGAGTCTACTATCTGACAATAAATATTTCTTCAGCCCTTTCCTCCGTTGTTACTTCATTTTTACAATCATTGTTGACTAGGTCATCCTCTTCCCAACAAACTTTAAATTTTTTTAATACTTCTTCATTTGTACTCAAATTTGATTGTCATGTCTGTGAGCTAGGTAAACACTATCATGTCCTTTTTATCTCTCACCACTCGTTATCATTCTCAACCTTTTAAGTTAATTCACTTGAACATTTGGTGTTGTAGCCTTGCTTTTACTCATTTGGGCTTCTGCAATTTTATCATATTCATTGATGATTTATGATAGGTTCTTTGGATTTATTTTAGGCAAATATCGTTTAGAGCTCTTTCATATATTTTTTTCAAGAAATAAAGTTAAATTTTTATTTCTAATCAAAATCTTATCCATTGATAAGGCCCTAAAATTCATCTAATCTCAGTTTCATATACTATGTCAATGATACTATTTAATAAAACTTTTGCCCCTATACTTCCTAAGAGAATTGTATTACTAGATGCAAAAATAGCCATATCCTTGTTTTGTCTGTACTTTTGATGTTTTGCATGATTGTACCTTGTTAATTCTTGGTGGATGATATTTTGATTGCATGCTATCTCATTATTCGTATCCCTTCCCTTCTTATCTACTTCTCACCCACTCCACTAATAATCTTGGTCAAGTTGTTTTTCTCCTTACATTGCTGATTTTTTGTGTTCCTTCAACGTGCATGTGTTTGGCTTGCAAGGCACCATCTCCTCGTGATATTTATGACAACTATATTCTTTCATTGATGCAACATTTTATGAGATTACATCATTTTTCTCTCCCTCATCCCTTAAACCATCTTCACCATTGGTTCCTTTTCATCTAATTGCCTCTGTACATATCTCTACACCAATACAAGGAAACCCTCGATATACTCCTCCTTCCATGACAGCACATTTAACTACATTGTGAAATTCAATTGAGAGCCCGCAAGATAATAAGCCCTCTAACTGTATTCCCTAAACCTTAAACCTAAATTTGATTAACTTAAACCGCATATCACCCATCTCTAGCTCATAATGATATTATCAAGTTCACCAAATGACAAATATTTGATTATGCCATGGTTTAAAATTGCGCAATATGAGGCTCGCATTGAGGCCCGCCATTGCGCAATTCCAGTAAAAAATGCCTCAATGCTTACGCCTCGAGTTTTTTTTATGAGGCTTGCGCCTCAACTTGGTTGAGGCCCGCCTCGCCTCATTGGCATGAGGCTTACGCCTCACGGTATATATATTAAAACTTACATAAATCTTGAAGTAAATGCCCGACATTGGACTCTATAGGAGAGGAGGAAGGGAAGAGAGCAGTTCATCATAATGATGATTCAAATGAAGAACCCCTTAGTGATGACAGTGCTGATGACTTATGAGTTCTTATGTGATATGTCATTCGTCATTTCGTATCCTATCTCTAAGGGTAAAGCCACTCATCCACCTGAGCATCCTCATCTTTGCCACACTTAACTTAGTATTATGCTTCTCTTTTAATGGCCAACATTCAACACCATAAAGCATTGCAAGCCTCACTACCATCTTATAGAATTTTCCCTTAAGTTTGAGGGGTACTTTTCTATCACACAACAAGCCCGATGCATTCCTCCACGTCAACCATCCAACTTGAATTCTATTGATAATATCCCCATCTATTTCACCATCACTCTGAACAATAGATTCAAGATATCTAAAACGTGTACTCTTATTAATGAAGAGTTCCTAATCACTAAATTTTTCTCTGACCACCATCCATCTCTTCAGCATTTGCAATCTCTCCTATGTTCTTCAGCTCATCAAGCTATTGTCTCCTCAATCAACTATTGATAAGATTGTTCTTGTGATGGGGCATAGCAATGGTCACGGAGGCTGCATTTATGGAGTTCTGAAGAGGAGTAAACCAAAAAAAAAAATAGTAAAGTTGGGCTAGATATATCAATTATCAAATTCATTTTCAATCTAAAACTTAAGCTTATACTGGAGGACTAACCATTTCTATATCATTATAATTTTCAACTGTTTGATATAGCATTAAACCCAAAACTTTGTTGGACTGCATAATACTTATAATACTTCCCTATTTTGTGTACAACAACCTGTTGAACATTTATGCTGAGTATGTTAGTCAGGAATCTGAATATCAGCCGACTTAATAGCGTCCCATGCTAAATGGTTCTGATTGAAACACTCATCTAGATCATATTCAGCAAAACACGCTTCATAACCACTACTGTAGCACAGGTCAAGATTCAGTAAATCGTCTGTAGTTATCTTGCGCTTACATTTGAATAAGATTTTCATTTATTTATCTTTTTTGAGGGAAATTATGCTTAATCTTTTGATATTTAATTACTTTTTATTATAGCATGTGCGGGGTTGTCAAGTGTTCCAGAGGGGGATTGGCATTGCCGGTATTGTCAAACCATGCATCAAAGAGAAAATTATGTGGCATATAACGATAATGCTCGTGCTGCTGGGAGGGTTCCTGGAGTTGATGCCATCGATCAGATTCTGAAGAGGTGTATTCTTATTGTTAAACTTCCAGATTCTAGGGTCGGTGGATGTGCATTGTGCAGGTAACAACTGTATGAGCGTTAAGGATTGTCTTTACTTTTCCATAAATGTTGTTGATTTGGCTTTCCTATTGTTTTTTTTTTCCTCTTTGTTTTTTATTTGAATCTGATATTTCATTCCATTTCCACTTCTACTGCAACATTTTGCTTCCTTTTAATCATAGCATCTACAAAAGTTTCCTTCGGTTGTTCTTACTGTAATTCAGATCTAAGGATTATGCCAAGTCAGGATTCAGCCCACGTACAGTTCTAATCTGTGACCAGGTATGTGTTTGTTCAAGTCCCTTGAACTTAATTAACTTAATTGTGTAATCTCTTACTTTAAGTGTTATCCTGAGACATTATGTTACTGTTCTTTTAGTGTGAGAAGGAATATCATGTTGGCTGCTTGAAGAATCATGGATGGGATGAATTAAAGGTAGTGGATCATTGTTTATATCATGATTTGTCTGGTAGTTGTAATAAAGTAATCTTGTCCTAACAGGAAAAACCACTAGGAGATTGGTTTTGTTGTGCCGATTGCATTTCAATCCATTCTTCTTTGCAAGATGTGCTCAGTCGTGGAGCTCAAGATCTACCGGATATGGTTTTAGATGTTATTAAGCGGAACGATGGCAAGGAAAGATCAATCAGGGATGCTATTGTCAATCTCAAATGGAGGCTATTTAGGGGCAAAACAGCTTCTGCGACTGATAAGTTGTTTCTTTCCAGAGCGGTCTCTGTTTTGCACGTAAGTGTTCAGTTATTCATGTAATTATGAACTAAGATTTTTTCTACTATATCTCCTATTAGATAGTTCAAGTTAAATATTTGGAGAATCTAGAATAATATTCTTATTGAATTTTCCAGCATGCTTTGTTTTAAATATTTATGCTAAACCAGCTTATTTGTCATCAGGAAGCATGCGTTGGCATTGGATTGAAGTATGACATTCACAAATATGAAAAATTCATCATATTATTTTTTTTACTATGAAGGTGCAATGAGGATATAGCAGCATAGTTGTGAATATTATAGTTTCTTAGATCATTGATTACTTTCAACATAGATTTCAATCATCATGCACGTTTAGTAGTTGAGGTGAGATCATTTCTGAGCAATTGCTTAATCATAGTGCATTTTTCAAGTCATAGGTATGGTGAAATTATATAATCAGTTATACTTTGATATGATCATCAACAGTAGCATTTGTGGATGAATGAAAATTAAGTGGATATTATTTGAGAAGGGCGTAGGTTTCTGAGATATAAAAGATGCATTCATTTTGGTTCAGTTTTTTCTAATCTCTTCAGTACTCACTTTGAACTGTTCCCTAAACTGAAATTTCAATCTTCATATGAATCATTTTTGGCTAATGATGTTAACTTTTTCGGTAGATTGACTCGTGCTACACCTCATGGCTGAAATTTGAATGTCTTCGGTTTTGTTTTTTTAAATTTACTGAACTACTATTTAGAACGTGTTTTTACAAGATCTATTGTGCAAATGCCAGCTCTTTTTTCATTTCCCTGGCATGAGCTTGCCAAATTGAACTAACGCGATGCTAGATCTCTCCCTTCTTCCTCTTCTACACGTGAGATGCGCACAAGCACAAGAATTACTGCTCGTCTACTTGTATTTTTCCTTCTAAAGGAGGTCACCAATAGGGACTCAAATTATTGAGAAATTATTTTATTCGGACGCCGAACGCAGCTCTACATCCGGAAACCAACCAGAATGAGTCACGTCAGCAATACTGAGCGCGGTACCGAGTGGTGGTACCGAGCATTAGTATCGACGTGACTCATTCTGATTGGTCTCCGGACAACTTTCGGCGTCCGCATAGAATAATCTCTCCAAATTATTGCTAAATCTCCCATCTTTTCTTCCTCTTCTACTGGTGAGATGTCAAACTTCATTTCTTCCAGCAGCTAAAAAACAACTGAATAAATAGAGAATACATAAATAGATGAAGGAATGAGGAAGCTGAAAGCATTAGCGGAGGAATGAAATTCCAGACCTTTTATTTAAGAAATGTAGATGAACCTAAAGCTCCACTTGTACCTCAGGGATTTACCTTGTAATTTACTCTATTTGAGAACTAATTATTCACGTAACTTTTGTCATTTTATGAGAGTCGTATCTTTTTATGCTTCTCTGACTCAGGCTGAAGGGACAATGTAGAAAAATAATTGATTTATAGGGGAAATATGTGGTGTCCTTAAGCAGTGCAAGGTTCCAATATTTTTGACCATCTGACTTGCATACAAAAGCTTTCCATCTTATAGTAGTATGAATTATGTTTCATAGGTCTGCTCTTTAATGAAGAGCAGTTTGCTGGATAATGATTGGTTTTCTTTGATTTGTATTTGACCGCTATGTTTTTTTTTTTTTTTTTTTTTTTTTTTTTTTTTTTTGACCTTTTTGTTTTTTATTTTTCTTTGAAATTGTTATTATCTATCACTTATTTTGGTCGTATCCACTTCTCTTTCAATTTTATTTAACTGTTATAACCATTCATTGGATTATTTTTTCAAATCCAATCATCTTACCTCTTAATGTATTTTTATGATTTATTTTCTGAATATTCTCATTCTCTTCATTAACAGGAGTCATTTGATCCTATAATTGGTGGAAAAAAGGGTGTAGAGCTTGTCACTCAGATGGTTTTTGGGTAAGTGAGACTTGACCAAACTATTGAGCCTTCCCTCCTGCCCTTCATGCACGCAAACAATTACATGGCAACACGTCACCCAACGGCCCATTTAGAAACTCCTTTGATGTCCTAAATTCTCCGAGAGAGTAGTTGCTATATGTGAAGCGATCCTGTTGTCAAATCATTTCTTATTTCTCATTCTTCGTTTTTGTGCTTTGCAGAAGATGGTGGGACCAAATGGATTTCGAAGGAATGTACTGTGCAATTCTCACTGTGGAGTAAGATCTATTTTCATTTGAATTTTTGCGCTTGGACTCTAGTCTCTAGTGCAACTTTGTTTGACCTGATATGGATTGATCATTGCAGTTCATCTGTTGTGTCGGTTAGCAACTTAAGAATTTTGGGTTCTGAAGCTGCTGAACTTCCATTGGTTGCCACGAAGAAGGAATTCCAAGGACAGGTGAATTTTTTTGCTTGTATTCCCTTAAATTGTTATCATAGTACTTTGTATTTCCACTTCAGGGCAATGTTAGATGCTTTAAGTTTGATTTGTATGCGGGATATATGATCAAAACTCTCAATTAGCTTGGATCGCAAATGTTCTAGACTTGAATGCATACTTATTTTGCGGGCTGCTAACAATTTCATTTCCTGAGTATTGGAGAGGTTTAGCTCTATCTAAAAGCTTACCTGATGTTGCTTGTGTTAAGCGAATTTTTCTCATTATTTAGATGTTTAAGTCATTCTCCACTCTCTATCCTGGGCTTCTGTTGTTGATTAATTGCCTCTTCATTTTGCGTGCACATTTAAAATTAGAGTAGAATTCTATTATTTGCCTTTACTTTGTATGGAAAACAGTTTCATCTCTTCTATGATCGTGGTTTGTGCAACTACATGAGTGTGATAGTGATTTTTTGGGTGGATGTTAAATTTGTAAATACATATGGAATGAGCATATAAGTGAAAAGGTTGGAGTAGCTCCAATGGAAGATAAGATTAGAGAGAGTTGCCTTAGATGATTTGGTCACATAAAATGGCGGCCTTCCAATTGCCCGGTTAGGAAAGTAGATGTATTAGATTTGACTTATATTAAGAAAGATAGAGGTAGACCTAAAAAGACTTTGTTAGAAAATAGTAGAAATGATCTTTGTTTATTAGATTTAAACGAGAATTTGACTTTTAACATGACACAATGGAGAAAAATAATTTATGTAGCCGACCCCACATAATGGGACAGGCTTGATGTTGCTGTTGTTGTATATGATTTTAATGGCAATGCAGGTGATTTTCCCTTGTTTTTTTATTGTGAAAAAGAAAATTTTTGCTAGCGAATATTATGCTATGCCATGGTCTCACTCATAGACGGCGATTATTGGAGGCAACTATGACTATGACTAGTAGTAAACAGCCTATAATGCTTCATTTCATAATTCTTTCCATTGTCTTCTTTGAGCTATGTCTATACCACCAATTTGATTGCCGTAAATAGCCCTGCAAGGCCTAACTACTTAATCTCTACAGGGCTATTTTGCGGCACTGTTTGCCTGCATAGGGCATCTCTTAGCTTCTTTGAATGTGAAGCATTTGGTGCTCCCCGCTACAGATGAAGCTCAACCAATGTGGACGCAGAGATATGGTTTCACAAAGATAACAATGGATCAGGTAAGTTTCAAATCACCATTATTGCTAAGCTCTTATTTCAAACTTTTGAAATATTATGAGATTATGAGTTGAAACTTTTGTGTGTTTACTGCAGTTGCATGAGTTGGCCCAGGGCATTAAGATTGTGGACTTCGAAGGGACAACATTGCTACATAGGACTGTTTCTGACCTACTACTTACTGCTGTTGGAAACCAAGCAAGCTGAGAGCCTGAGAGAATAATAAGGCTTCGTTTGGGACGGTTTTCTTTCTGCTTCTAATAGCCGCTTTCTAGTGCAAAAATTTTAATTTTTGTACTAAAAAACTGCTTTTAAGCAGCAGTAAGAAAGTCATCCCAAACAGAGCCTAAATCAGTTTTGCTGTTTTTGCTGCAGGCACCTGTAAAGTCATTTTTGGAAGAGGATTTTGCGTTGGGAAGATCTTTTTGGGTGAAACTTTTGGAGCAGATTTGGAAGGCATTTTTGGGCACCTTAAAGTCTTTTTTTACTACTGTTGATTGAGAAATGTATATGTCATAGAAACTTCATAGGGAATTTATGATAGAAAATCCAATTGCATCTTCAGCATATGACGAACTTTGTGAAGCAGCAGCAGCAGCATAGGGGTTGTTATTGTTTCAAAATATTTATCATGTTTTAAAACTTTTACGAGGATGTTACTTTTGTCAGCTTCTCTATTGCAAAATTAAGGATGAATATTCTATCATAAATTTGTTTGAGATGAATGCAAATATGATTAATCAATTAACTTATATATTGCATCACCTCAAAATAAATTTAATAGATATTAAATCATTATGAATAAATTAGATAAAGTGAGGATGTTTTTGACTATTTTTCATTTTTTCTACTCGAATATTTATTTATTTTTGTATATTATAAATTGGCTGTTTATTTAAGATAGAGAAAATGCTAAGCGGGCAAAATTTGGCCCAAAAGAGAATTTAGTTGTTTTTTTTAATAGCTGCAGTAAAGTTTTGCTGTATTAAAAAAATTGGGGGATTTACATAAATACCATCTTATATTATTCTATTTACATATTTAACATCTGAAATTTTAATATTACATATATATCACTCATAGTTCATTTTTATATTAAATATAAGTGGTAGAAATGAAATATACGAGTGATATGAAAGAAATATAAGTGGTATATTTGATATTAAAATAATATAGGATTATATGCATGTAATATTAAAATTTTAGGTGTTAGATATGTAAATAGAATGTTATAAAATGGTATGTATGTAAATTTCCCAGCTCCAAACTGATCGGTAATTGTAAAAACTAAGAACTGTTTGGAATGTCTTGAATATATTTAGCATATAATGTTTTTTAACTCTTTGATTTACAATTTTATTGTATAATCAATCAAATAGAAAATTAATATTTTCACATGTGAAATCTCAATAAAATTAATGATCTATTACCAGATTTAATATAAAATTTTTAATCAATAATTATGTTTTTCCAATATTTTTAATCTTCAAATCATAATGCTACACTACAAACAAATCTCAGGTCTGTGCTCTCTGCACAATATTTGTGTATCATACCTCTCTGTACATATTTATATCAGAATTGTGAAATCCTTCACAGCTAAATGCAATTTAGCCTCTGGTTTTAACCCTACAACGCTCTACTAACGACAACATATGGTTTCTTATATATCTAAAAAGCTATGAACCATTGTTTTTTCAATCAATCTCTGCATGCACATAATCAACAAATACAAAGTTCTTTTGAAGCTCGTGCAATAAATAAGCCAAAGCAGCGCTGAGTAGAGTAGAACCTGCAAGCAGAAGCCGCAGTTGCAGCTCGGACGGAATTCCAACAGAGGCGCAAAGAACAACTGTCGCAGCAACAAGTAATTTCTGCCAATTGCGGAAGCCCTCGTAAGCACCTTTGCATGATGAACACTTCAGTGTATGTTGTTCGTAACGGTTCAGCATCTGTAAAATCATAAGCACACGAAATTTGATGGCTCAAATAGTTTTGAAATTTGAATAACTAAGATACTAGAGTATGAATATGCCAAGAAGAAGATAGAGATGGTTGAAAAAGCTCTCTTAGTGATCCAATTATATTTACAAATATTAGAGTTGCAAATTGATAAGGAGCAAATCTAAGTGGTGTTTTTTTTAATGATTGTTGGAGACAAATGCAAAACTACTGGATTTTATATTGTTAGTTTACCAGCTATATGGTAGTGGATATCTTATATGGGAAATAATGCAATGCATCAAGCAAAACAATTAGTTTTGATAATGTAATGAGAAATCTTGTATCATCTTGTGCTATTAGGGAAACAGAGTGCAAGTTTTTAGGATATGTTTAAGTCCTTGAGGTTTTCATCAATTTCTTGGTTGTTGAGAACTCCATATGGTGTAGGATGCAATTTTGAGAGGAGCTACTTCAATGTTATCATTCATGTTGAAGCATCCTTATTTGGGAAAACAAAAGAAAGTTAGCTTCAAAGAGGCAAGGATCTAAAACAGAGAAAGATAAAAGTTCATAGGAATACTGTTTATAACAACAAGTGGATCAATTTCAAGTTGCACATATTGTCTTAGGCTTTGTTTGTTTGAGCGTTTTTTGCCTTTTCCGTTTTTGGAAACGGAGAATTTTTTTGTGTGTTGTTTGGTTCGTCAAATCACGTTCCCAATAACTCCTTTTTTTAATTTTTCTGCAGTTTTGAGAAAGCTTTTTATATGTGCTTCTCCGTTAGAAAACTCCATTTTATGAACTAATGTTTTTTAAAACTGTCTTTTATAAAAGCACCAAAAAATCAAATGAAGCCTTAGTGTCAATTCACACCACTATAATATTTAGAGCAAAGAGGCAATCAGCTCGAGGGCACGAAATTTAGTGGTAAACGCACTTTCGATATCAGCGGATCCACTTTAGCATGCAGCATATGTGCTCCAAAAATTTCTTGCAGGTATTAAGTTAAATGTCATCTGAGCTTGTTGAGGCAGCATGGTGCTCAACTCATTGGAGCTGTGGGAGATTCGAGGGCTCATTTAGAGAGAAGCATAGATATCTAAAATTGTGACCAAATTAGAAAGTCAAGAGGGAGTTTTGTAAAAAAAAAGAGAAAAAAAAGGACTTTTGTTAGAATTTTGACTTAATAATTTTATCAAGTTAAGCTAAATTTTTAAATATTTATTACAAATTGATTGATTTAAAGTGCTTGAGTTGATCATTACACATCATGTTCCTAGCTTTAAAACAGCTAGGAGATAAATTTACCAAATTTTTGGGTCCACATAAGTTTTCTAAATTATGTAAAAAACTAGAACTGATGTATTTACTCTAACTTGGGGAAAATTGAAAGCATTAATCTTTTTTAAGAGAAGTTTCTTTTTTTATACTAAGTGAAACGTTTAATTGGGTCTCTTTTAGAATATTGCAATCAATTTTTATTATAAATCAGAATCCCTTCAACTAAATAAAATATAGATACCCTTTTCCTCAACAAGGTGTCTAAGGGTCTGCTTGATTGAGGCTTATGTTAAGAAAAGCTAAGCAAAGCCAAATAAAGGTAGGTTGTCACATGTGGTGTTTTTGGTTGATGAAAAACATAATATGGTATAAGCTAAGATAAGCTGAGATTCTTTTAGAAGAATTCGTATGTGGAGAATTCCTAATATTAGCTAAATTTTCTTTGTTTGCTCCCTCTCAATTGCACTATTCACTCTTTTATTAAGTTCAATAGATTTGGTGATTGCCTTTCTTGAGATTATGTGCACCTGGATTTAAGAAATAATATTTACATATGCCTCTTTTATTTGTACACTTATATGGCTTCTCTATAATAAATCAGATTCTCTTCTGTCCCATGAACATTATATATTATTTCTGCTGAACCACACAAAAATTTATGTAGACTTATGGTGTGTCATCACTATCATATTATTTAGCTAGTTCGTCAAATTCACTCTTAATCGTTAATTCAAAAAACTTAGGTGATATTCCTAGTAATGAAACTAAAATTGTAATGAATTAATGCGGGAAGAGTATTTATCATAGTTAATAATGTCTCAACACAACTTCCAAATGCACAATGCAATCAACTTCAACAATACATTATAAATGCCAGCACAATAACAAGATGTTGATAGAGATGGCCAAACTGACATAATCAAAACATTAATTTTTATACATTAAACTTAAAGCATAAAACTGTACGAGAGTACCCAAGCATAAGAGTGACTGAATGCCTCGTATGCATCATAAATAAATTCTACATCAGTTGAAGGATTACGGTTGGCAATTTAACAAACTTCAGAAAAAAAATCATACCTCATGTTTAGATAGAACAGTGGATGGTAGAGATTGTTGGTTCACAAAGCCAAACCATTCAGGCTGGCCATTACCATAGCGCCTCAACCAATTCCGAAATGCTAAAACCAGACGATCTGCCTGTGTTGGGGTGAATGTAATTTTTGAATATTGCTGATTAACATCAACAGAAGCCTCCATGGACTTTGAAAGAAAAATTTTCTCCTGTCCTTGTAGCACAATCATATCACCATCATAAACTTTGTTTGAAGTCCAATGCTCATGCCAGCGTGGTACTAACTGCATGATAAAGCAGAGAGTGCAAATTTTCAGCAAGAGTAGCCTCAAGCTAAAGTGAAGGGACGAGATTCCAGTTTCCCATAATTAGAAGTAAAGCCAAAAAACCAATTATAAGGCTTATAAGAGAAAAGGAGTCAGAACAGATGCTCAACAAAGAACAACACTGCAAAAATATCAGATGATATCAGATTGATGAATGGACAATAGAGGATTGGGAATGTGCACTTTCTGAATAAGGTATGGGCTCGCAGCATATGCTGGGGGTGAAGACATCAATAAGGTCATTTCTAGTGAAGTTCTTGATGTCAAGGCTCATTTCTAAGAGAGAAATACTATAATCAACATTATCATCATCAACCTAATCCCAATTATTTGGGGTTGACATCATGAATAATCATTTTTACTTTGTTCAAGTTTATTGTTTTTGAAGTGTTTAACATATTTTTTGTAAGTCATTCTGAACAAAATTTATCCATGTAACTTTAGATCTACCACTTTTATTTCATGATCTTCTAGGACTAATATTATCAACTTGTATAATGAAAAATTCTTTTATCAATCATTCTACATAAACCAACCAAGTTTATTTTCAGTCATTTTATCTTCAACAAATGTCATTGCTTTCCTCTGTAAAATTATTACTTAATTTATCCTTCGAAGTTTTGTCACAGATTCATCTTCTATTCTCATTTTTACCACATTCAACTTAAATATCAATAATTTTTTTATTGTCCAATATTTGGAACGGTACAACATCATCAAATTAATTGAAATTTTATTACATTCACCTTTAAGTCTCCATGATATTCATTTATTAGACAAAGTGACAAAACTCCCAAAGTATAATTCCATATTACCCATCCAACTTTAACTCAAGATGTTATATCCTAATATGCATTTCATTCTTCTATATAATAAATCCAAGATACTTAAGCCTATCAAGCCAAAATATTATAATATTTTTGTAATATTGAATGCTAATTATTAACTAAAATGATTATAAATCATATACTTGACTTTATTACACTAATTCTAAGGTCTTTTATCTTTTAAATATTTATTCAATTGTTCTTAATTTCACTTATTTTAGTGAATATCTTAGCAATTAAAATTATATCATCTATAAAAAACATGTACCAAAGAATCAGGCATTATGCTTTGAATATTATTTGCAAGCATCTATATAACCAATGCAAAAAAGATATAGACTCAAATCTTGATCTTTAATGTAGACACATACTAAATTTAAACTATTAGGTCATTCCACAACTATTAATACTAGTCAACACTCCATTATATATAATAACATCAACATACATTTGATACATTTATATCTTAAAGCACTCCAAATCAATGATGTACTCGAATATATGCCATTAGAAGATCAATAAACATCACATGAAGATCCTTTTTTTCTTCTATAGACTTCTCCATCAATTATCTTCACATAAAGATAGCTTTCTAGTTGATCTTATAGCATAAAACCAAATGGACTTTTCAAAATTGATGTAATTTTCCTAAGCCTATTCCATTACTCCATCACATAACTTCATTATAAGACTCTTAAGTTTGATTCTTTTATAATAAGCATAATCTTGAACTTCATCTTTATTACTAATTATTAGTACCAAAATACTTTTTCTCCAAAATTTGGCATTTTTATAGTATATAAAATTCTATTGAAATAATTTATTGATTAAATCACTACAATATTCCTTCACAACTCTCCAAATCTTAAAAGGCATCTCATTTGGACCTAAAGTCTGACATTCATGAATTATGCATTTTTCTCATAGCTAATTTCAATTTCCTTTATTGGATCAATCTATAATATATCTCAAAATATTGTTCGTCAGCTCTTCCAAGCCTATTATATAAATAATCAAAAGCTACAATTTTTGGTTTACTCATTACTTTCTTTGCAAGTTTTTTAACATTCTTATAATCATTATAAATGTCAATAGTATTCAATTTTTATCACATTTTAAAAGTGTGCTTCTTTTCTTTGATAACCCTTGCACCTCACGGCATCGTCAAATCTCCTAATCAATGAATGATTTATTTCTAACCCCTTGAAACTTCTACAATAATTTTGTAAAAACTTCTACAATAATTTTGTAAATGAAACTAGCCATCTCATCCCACATCAGGTTTGACTCAACTAAAAATTTTTAACTTGCCTCCCTTAAAAACATATCTTAAAAGTTTAATAATTTCTCATCTTTCAAATTCCAACATTTTATCCTAGGACCATAATTTCTTTTGATTGTTTTCATTAAATTCTTAAGATATACATTTATAATTACTATACAAGATGTTGTGTGGTTAAGTTTTCAATAGAAAAAAATTTATTTCTTTTGAACTAAGAAGAAATTTATCTGTGATTTAGTGATACTTGTATAAGTAATCAAATATTTTTTTCATTCTTAAACTTGTTCACTATTGCAAGTTCATAAACTACTCTAAAATGAAGTATAACTTTTTGTATTGCAGTTCTATCTCCAATTTATAACCATCATGAATCCTCTCATAGCTCATCCCACTTAAACCTATATGCCTATTCAAATCATCTCTAATAACTATAATTTCTTTAACAAGTAGAAGTATATGCTTTGCAGTTCATACATTTATTTCAAAAATTAATATTTTAAACTATCATCAAATCCAACGTTAAAAAAAATTGTTAGGCCATGTAAAATCAGGAACAGTTAAATGCATCGGTCAATAGAAGAATGTTCAATGGAAATAAGAGGATTCTATTGTGTATCTTCAACTTCTCTTTATGCTGTTAAAACAAGAGCAGATTTTGAAAGAGCAAAAGCTTTTGTCATACAAAGTCTAAATCGGACAAGTGATAATAAGCAAAAATACTTGGGCTCTAGAAGAAACAAGAAAATTCTGAGAACCCAACAGCCCTAATATTCATAAACTTTTTGCAATATTTGGACAATCGGCTACATTTGCAATGAAAATTCTAAATTAAAAATGTCTAATAAAACAATAATTAATAATGCTGGAAAAGTAAAAGGCTAAACGTAATATGGTAAAAGTTTCATTAAAAGATTTATAGGAACTAGAGATAACAATACATGTAGCACATTTGGAATAAAAATTCAATCAGCTACATTTGAAATGAAAATTCAAAATTAATAGTTGGTCAGTCAGCAACATTTTCAATGAAAATTCAAAATTAGTGAAGTCTAATTAAGCAAAATTAATAATGACAAACAAGGAAAAGGCTTAAGGGAACATGCTACAGGTTCCAATAAAAGATTTGCATGAACTTAAGATAACAATCCTTGCAGCAATCATCAAGGCCAAATAAAAAAGAAACAATCATAATATAGGCTGGATATGATATCCATGAATCAAGTAATAAATAAGAAAAAATTTCTCAAATTAAAAAAGGTGCCATTTACCAAAAACAAAGGCTTCTTTCATAAGGGCACACCCATACAGTTACAAAATCTTGGACAACAATACAAGATTGTCTCAGATTGAATAGTAAATAAAAAAATATCAGCTAACCCCGAAGTAGTTGGCATAAGACTAATGATGATAATGATCTCAGACAGAAGAGTTAAAATGAGTGCCAAACGCATGTAAAAGGAATTGGTATTGAAACTAATCTAGCCATTGAAATATACCTGCCACCATGCTGGACCTGGCATTGTAAACCGGAAAAAGTTTCTGGCACTACACACAATGGAACGTGTCTTCCCCGGTGCCATGGGTATGTTGAAGGAACAAATCCAAATGACCCACTTTTGATCTCCAAATATAGGTACTTTGGTGTCAATCTCTATCCTAAAAAAATAGGAATGAAAGGTTAAAAATGGCACCTTTTATTGTGTTTGTGCAGAAATTGGGGATAATTGACCAATCGGGATTCAAATAATATTGCATATGAATAAACAATTATTATAAATACAAACTCACTTATTTATGTAATAGCAAGGGGCTACAAATTTAGCACTTATACGAGGATTTCCAGAATCAGCTCCAGAAAATCCCAAGGCGCCACTATTCTCCAATTTAAATGGTAGAGGCTTAGCTCTATCCCTTCTTCCAGTAACCTGACAAAATAAAGATATTAAGTTAAAAATTATATGCATGAAATATAAAAGCCTCACTAGAATGCCATCATAAACTGTTGAAGCACCAAAGAAAAAAAAAAACCTACTGACATCATAAACTGCTAGAATGACTTGTTCCAAAACCATTCTTAATATTATTCACACAAAATAAAAATTCAAAAATTGGTAACTTTTAAAATGCAATCATACTTAATATCAATTCAAGATGATTATAATGTTCGGTTACCAGTTGCTTCTATCTCCCTCACATTGTTAATGGTTGTGACAAAGTTGTGGCAAGCATCTTATCCCATGAATGTAAGTGGTCATAGCTGGACTGTTGCTGATGTGGGTGGTCAACGATGGCTGGTGGTAACAGAGTAGGGGAAAATTAGGGGGCCAGGGGCCACCTACAAGGTAATGATGATTGGAGTTAGCAGGGTGGTGAAAATCAGGTACGGCAATTTGGTGATAATGACAACAAGCCAGGGGCAAAAAAGCTGCACCAGGTTACTAGCAAGGAGGCAAGTTGATGTGATGGTGGTGGACAACCAATGGAGGCAATAATGGTGGGAGTCCAGCTGCATTTAATGGATAATATTGGAGGTGGGCAATGGAGAGCAGGCAAGAACTGGCAACAGAGGATGTGGATGTGGTGGCTGGTGGCAAAATTGCAGTCATTGCAAGGAGCGGTCTCCAATGGCTGTGTGATATCAAAGGCCAGTAGCATTTTGAGGGAAACGAAGGAAATTAGTTTTGGTCTGATGTATAAATTTATGCCATAAAATCATTGTTATGACTTAATTAACACTGCTAAGCTAAGAGGCTCATCAGGCTTATAGAATGGCACATTCATAAGAGATCCAACTCCCTTAAAATCCATAACGCAATCTTGCTTCCTAAATAACAATAAGAATTACATCAATGCTATCTCTAGGAGCTTTGTAGCTCCAATTGCAACATACTCCTACAATGTTTACATACACGCATTAGGACCTACATACGAAGGTGGACCACTATTGTACTTTTTTTTATATAAATAGTGGAGGTGCTTGATTTAGCAAGACCCTATGATTTATCCCTTCAAGGGGTTTTCAATGAAAAAAGACTTATATCACGTTCCTTGATTGTTTCTGCATGCAAGATCAAAAATTGCTAGGGGTGGTTTTATCCTCCATCTACACATGTGTATGAATTTTATTTAAAAAAAAAATTCTAAGGCTATCAAGATTGTTCCTAAATCCTAAGTCTATCAACTCGATTTCCCTCATGCAGCAGTCCTAAAGTTTTCAAGGACAAACAAAAACATTGAGGTCAACATAAGTGAGAACACAAAATTTAAGCGTTAGTTCCCAGGAATAAAATGCTCAATGTAAACTGTAAAGTATTGATGTAAACGATGTAACAAATAAAAAGTACAAATCAAAATGGTTTTATTGAAACTGTAGAAGGGGCTACAAACCTAAGTGAAGCTATAAAAACAATATTTTTGTATAAGATAATAAGAATCTAGATAAATGAAAGATTGAATGGTTTTACGTCATAACCTTAGAATCACACTACTTTAATTTTCTCCACACCTCTATAATCTATATCTGACAACGTTTGACAGACAATCCAGTAAGAATAGAAAAATTCTCTCAACCTCAATAACTAGGCACTTATTTGTTGTGATTGACTGAAGAGTTGGACTTGGAAAACAAGCTCTAAAGATTAAACAATTAGCAAAAGCAGAAATAAACTAATTTTACTTTGAGATGTATCCATCAAAAGTTTCCTTAAAAATATACCTTGTGGTGAGCAAAATCAATATGTGAAGGATCAGAAACATTTTCCATCAGCGTATCATAACCATAAAACAAGTCCCTTTGGATTGTCACCGTAGAAAAATCCGGACTCTCGAATTCAGCCGGCAACCTTAACAAAAAAGACAAAAAGCCGATTCATCAGATACATTTTCAAGAACTAGAAAATAAATCCCCCAAAATAAAAATAATTTCCATCTCTTCCGAACAAACCCTGGAGTCTCGGAAGCCATGGCCTTCTCCCAACCGTGCTCATCTGGCCACACGAAGAGCAATCCCTGAGAAACCCTCGTTGGAAGTCTAGTCACGCATGCCTTCGGCGACTGCAGGGCCCGAGCCTCCGGCCCCTCGGGCATCGCCTGTGGAATTCGCACACACGAGCCCTTCCGATCGAACGACCATCCATGGTACGAGCACTGCAAGCAACCATCCTCATCGATCCTCCCTTCCTACAATAATCCCCAATCAAATCAGGCAACGAAACCCACCGGTTAGTTAGTAATCCTACAAAGCACCGAGTAAACTTATCGTTGATTACCGAAAGGGGTGCGAGACGGTGGGGGCAAACATCGTCAAAGGCGATCCAATCGCCAGATTTCGGATCCTTCCAGAGGACTATGTCGCGGTTTAGGAGCTGAAAGGGAGTAGGCTTGCGGGGATCAAGATCCTCGATGAGGGAGACAGGGTACCAGTGATCTCTCCACGAGAAGGTATCGGAAGAAGATGACGATAAAGAAGAGGAGGAAGTTGCTTCGAGTTCTGGGAATTCGAGACTACTCTCTTCGGTGGGAGCCGGAGGGGATGAGGGTGTGGCGACGCTAAGAATTGTCCGCGAGCAGCGACGGACCTTAAGAGATCGGCCACGAGAAAGAGGCGGCGAGAAGTTGTTACGAGATTTGGAGGAGGAGGTGTTAAGGAGATTGAAAGTCTGAGCGGACGGAGTGAGAGAATGGAAGCAGAGAACCGCCATTTGCGCAAGCAAGCAAAGCGAGCTCTTGGAAGCAGAATTTATCGCGGTGGAATTCTCCCTCACATAAAAAAGGCGGCAGTCTTAATCTAAATAATTAGAGCTTAATTATATCAGTAATACTATTCAAAGACCCATTTTGTTTCTTTCACAAAATATTTTAGATAATTATAATTTTATTTTTAATCATTTTTCTTAAACATTTAAAAATGTTTATGTAATTAAAAATATATATTAATTTTTAATTAAATTTTCAAATAATAAACATAAAAAAATATTATTTGACCTAAACAATTAAATGAGGAAATTACAATTCAATTGGGGTGATAAAAGTCTATAATTTTACAGTGTTTTTTTTTATAATTTAAATAATAAATTAGGAGGTGGCTACAATAGCTGGCACGTGTCCAAGACGAAACGTAGACGGAATTATAACTTATTACAAAAGAGGACAATATTGAAAGCAAAATCAAAGCAAATGAACAACTATGAGCGTTCACAAGCAAAACCTTGGGCTTTCTCAAAATGTGGTAGAAAGTTGGCATAACAATCTGGCCCACTGCATAGGCAATCAATCAAATTTTAATGATTGTATTAAAATTCATGATAAAATTTTAAAATACATTTTTAATGATTTTATTAGTAAATAAATTCAATATTGATTTTTAATGAATTGATTTTTAGCAAAGTCGACATTTTTTTAGAAATAGAAATCAAATATAGCGAAGTCGTTATTCGTCGGTGAACGACACTTTTGTTGATAGGTGTAGCTGGCGGAAGATTACGATGAGAAAGGATCGAGGCTTGTTTAAGGAGATGGGACTTGCAGCATATGAATGTGAGAAGCATTCAGAACGAGAGCTTGCTTGGGGATGGTGTTGATAAGGCCAACGTAGGGGTAAAAGGTGTTTACGATGGGAGCTCATTATAGAAGTCGTAGACTATATAGCACCATATAAAGAAGAAGAAAATATTCAATGTTCTGTTGAACTCATTTTGAATCTTGTTTGAATAATGTTCGAACCAGTTTGAGCCTATTTTGGTTTGATGCATGTTCAAATTTGAGTTCAAAATAAGTTTGAATATATATTCAAACAGACGTAGCCATAGAAATACTGAGTGTAATTGATACATTATTGAAAATAACCTTAAACGGGCATGAATTTCGATACATATTTTAATTTTAAACTTCAAAATAAAATTCTGAATCATTCAAACTCTAATTTTAGTAAACTTATAGTTGAAATGAAAGTTTACTGAAAGTCTCAATGAAAAAAAAAAAACTTAATGATAATAAAAATTGTTCAATTTAAGTCGGATGAGTCCAGATCAAGCACTTGAAGTGTAATTAAAAACTTTTGAATACCAATTGAATGATCAAATGATCTTCATATCTTATATGCTTATAATAAAATCAAACATCTTAACAAGAAAAATTCAATTAGCGAGAGATTGCTTAATTTTAACATTATTAGGCCCTTCAATTAACCTCCCATGCATGGCATGGGTCTCTTCCAACTTCAATCACGTAATATGTTCAATACATTATATATTTAATGCATTTTTGCGAGGAAGTTAATCATTTATAGTCAATAACAAATAACATTATAATCATTTTAACTGGGCCCAATCTCATGATTTTTTTTCTTTTCATAGATTTTTCACATAAAAAACTACGACGCTTATAATTTCTACATTAATATCTTATCTTTTTGTGTGTTGAGCATTGGTAAAAATCCAACAAATGATAAGATAACAAACTCTCTATCTCTATCCCCGTCTCAAATATTCTAACACTCAATAATTATATTAAATCTCTCTCTCTCTCTCTATGATATTTTGTGAGAATTGCTAGAATTATGGATAAAATTTTTTTATATATTTTTTCTTAGAAGAGGAAAATAAATTTAATGAGTGCGAACAAATTTCATACAACTCAATCAAAGGCTCAAAGCCAATAATTAAACCCTAGCCTAGTTAGCATCAGTCGACATTGATTGACCAAATCAAGTTGTTTAAGGTGTTTTCTTAGGCTTCGTTTGGGATGGCTTTCTTTATGCTTTTTAAAGTAGCTTTCTAGTACAAAATTAAAAAATTTTGTACTAAAAAAATGCTTTAAGAAACAGAAAGAAAGCAATCCCAAACAAAGCCTTAATCACCAAAACTCGAAGGCCCAACTTATCATATCTAAAAAAAAATAGGCTTCATTTCGCATAGCTTTTTTAATATTTTTTAAAATAACTTTTTTATTAAAAAAATTATAGGCTTCGTTTGAAACGACTTTCTTAATGCTTGTTAAAACAATCTTTTAAATTTTTTACTAAAAAAACTGTTTTAAAAAGCAGAAAAAAGCTGTCCCAAACAAAGTATTAATTAGCCCAAATAGCTTTCTAACGATTCAATCAACGGATATGTACCCTACAGACTCATTAAGGCAATCACCCGAGCACCGGCATCAACGGGCTTCAAACTATGATCATAAATGACTTATAAGCTCGTTCGAATGATTCAGTAAACGAGTTAATTTTTTTTTATATGCTTAACTTATTTATTTGCCCTGCGGAACCCAACCAAGCTCTTAACTAACATCAAATAATATAAATAACTTGCAAAATTATTATATATTTATCACTACTAATAAATCAGATATTCAAAACATTTTCTAGGGACATGCCGCACTGGCAATTGCCTTAAAATCTTTATAATAAAGACTAAAACATAGATTTATGAACAAATCATCTAAAGAGTTATATAATAAATAAATAAATAAAATTTGTGAGGGGGGCAATTGCCCCTCGACACAATGGGGTTCCGCCCCTGATTGTTGTAGGAAGTTATTAGCAGAGCTGTTAACGGGTGTTAAAACTGCTACTAAATGATATAATAGATTAAAAACATATATAATGCATTAACACAGTATACCACTAAATTTTTAGATATTACAAATTTAATATATTTTTGTATTTATTCAAATAATCATTTTAATGTCTAAATCATTCATAAATTTCTGAATGACTTTATAGAATTTAAGTTATTTTTAAACTACATTCAATAAAAATAAAATAAAGTAAATTCATTGTCCAGTTTCAAGCAACCAAATGAGCCCTTTAACGAGCGAAATTATTATGTGCGGTCACCGGATGATGTCCGGAGGCCAATTAGGACACGTCATGTCATCAATATATTACGTAACATAGTAACAATATACAACATGTTTGTCACGACCCAACCCGACCGGGACGGATCCCGCTCGCATCGGGTCGTGGCCAAACTCAAACTGATTGAACTGATTCCATGATCTGGTTTCGGAATTTGTTTCAGAACTTTCTTCCAAACATTTACACACAGAAACAGACACACAGAGCTACTATAAACATCAAAATACAGCGGAACCGATCATCTATCTTTTTCTTCCTCAAAAGAATCATATACAAATACAGCTCATG